ATGTACATTCCTGCATCTTGTGTATGTGTGTGTGTGTGTGTATGTACGCACATGCCTGTGTGTGTATAAGTGTACTCGTGTGTATGTATCTGTGACATGCACATGCATGTGTGTATGTGTGTACTCGTGTGTATGTATCTGTGAGTGTATGCACTTGCATGTGTGTATATATGTACTCATATGTATGTATATATCTGTGAGTTTGTATGTATATAACATGTATATGCACATGTGTGAACGAGTGTGTATATATGCTTATGCATGAATGTATAGGTTTCTATGTGTATGTGTGTTTGCATGCAATGCTCATAAGGTGTTGAATCCTATGTTTAATTGTTTTTTAATCATGATCGCGTAGCATAGTTTTACAGCAAGTGTTGAACTTTTTGTATTAAAGGTTTCCTTTTTGACCTGTACATTATCTTTTGTGATGATGTTTATACATATGTATGTATTTCTACCCGGAATTTTATGCAACAGCATTGTTCTCCCACCCGACTAGTTTTGGGTGGTTTGTGGGTGCTACTTCTTTCCTCATTTTCACTTTGTTGAGTTCGTCAACTTGCCTTCGGTCGACAGCAAACTGCCCATTTATTTCTGTGTAGGTTTGTGAAGTGTGCTGACAAAATGAGTTACTTCTCTGATTCAAGCCTTATGGAAATAGAAACATCATGCTTATAAGCGAAGTTTCACAATTTATAAGTATGAAATAATAAGAGGTATGTTATACATAAAAGTAGAGCATCAATAGAAGAACTACTAATTTGACCTCGGTGTTGATTTTGTGCCAATATCTCCTTCTGTGGACTGCGAGAAGTAACTCATTTTGTCAGCACGCCACACATTTCTTCTGCTTATACTACTTGTTTGAGTATTTGATCTGTTGCAAAAGGAGTTCGTGCTGGTCTGGTGTGTGTGTGTGTGTGTGTGTGCGTGTGTGTGTGTGTGGGTGGGTGTGTGTGTATGTGGGTGGGTGGGTGTGTGTGAGTGTGTATGTGTGTGTGCGTGTGTGTGTGTGTGTATGTGTGGGTGCGTGTGTGTGTGTGTGTGGGTGGGTGGGTGTGTGTGAGTGTGTGTATATAGATGTGGGTGTGTGTGTGCGTGTGTGTGTGTGTGTCTGTATGTCTGTGTGTTAGAGCTAAACTGACCAACAAAACAATTTATTATGTTGTTTTATATTGATGTAATAATTATCTGTATTGATGTGGTTCTAATGTACTTTAAAAGCACCAAAGTATTTTGATCTCTGAGACAGCTAGATGCAGACAGAAGAAAGTTTTAGAGAAAGCATCTGTCTTTGTTCATTTTAGCACGTGCATCGCGAAATAGGTGGGATGCGGGAACATTTCTCGTTATGCTTGAATTTGGCTCTGTGCTTGGGTTTTTTTTTAATTTTTTTTTTTTGGTAAAGAGTTTTACTGCTCTCGCAACTGCAAAAGGTTCTTTGAGCACATGTTGGAAAAAAATTTTTGTTTGTTTTTGTTTTTGTTTTGGTAAGGTACTTGTTTTTCGTACAAAGAATAAACTTGTATAAGAAAAAGTTTGAGACATGAAGATCTATTAGCTATAAGGGTTGCAATTACTATGTCAGTCAGGCTTACTCCCCTCCGCAAAGTGGAGTAGCAAAGGACCAGAATAATTTTGTATATATATAAATATATACAAAGACCTTTATTATATTCTAGAAGCCTTAATGGTCATTGTATGCTCACATTTGAAGTAACTGGGATGTTTTCATCAACGGTAGTGTGGCCAGGGTCAGGGTATATTTGCCTAACTGATTTTTACGTTTGTTTTTTTGGGTTTTTTTGGAGAAAAATGTGAACAACAGTGTTGAGCTGGGTAAATCTTAAGACTTATGATATATCACGCAAATTGTTTCCATTATTGGGTTTTTAATACTCGAAACCAAACCATGTTATAATGATGATACGAAACAAATTACGAGCAATTTCACCATCCCAGTGACTACAAACCTAAAAAAAACCCAAAAAAACTTCTTGGTGTAAAATTCCATTGTACGTCACTTTTCGTAGTGGAGTATAGAGAAAATTTCGGGCAATTTTACCGTGCCAGTAACAACAGACCCGAAAAATAAATCATCTGTTCGTAGTAAAATTCCGCCATACTTCACTTTTCAAAACGACGTATAGTGGAATTTTTACACTAAGCTGTTGAATGTTGAAATGATATTGCTTTGGCAATTATGTTTTGATGGTGATGATATGTAGCTCTGTGGAAGCTTGCCAGGTCTTTTGCAGCCAGGGTTCTGAGATATGTTCGTACGCCTCACACTTGCCCAAACGTGCTTGATCCTGGGTACTTGTACGTTGTACTGACAAAAAACTCCCACTCAACACATACATATGTACATGTACATATACACACTCACACCTGCACACACACACAGAAACTCAACACATACATATGTACATGTACGTATACACACTCACACCTGCACACACACACAGAAACTCAACACATACATATGTACATGTACATATACACACTCACACCTGCACACACACACACAGAAACTCAACACATACATATGTACATGTACATATACACACTCACACCTGC